AGGGATTTATTTACCGCTACAGATCACTCCCCCCCTAGTGGGGCAGTGATGTCCCTAAGACGTGGCCAGCCAGAAGTTTAAACCCAACGACTTTGTCGTTGGTAAACACTCTTCTGATAGCTTACTAAGTGTAGCAGCGTCTGGTCGTCTTTCCTTACTATATGGGACGGTGGTACAACATAGTAAAAAAAGAAAATGTACAATGAAAAGTTCGGATCCTCATAAACGTCATCGTTCTTTTCCAGCCGTCCTGGAAAAGAAAAAAGAAAATGTAAGTGCATGTCGAAAGTACACTCGTATGTGCGCAAAAACACAATGTCGGCGGATAAAAAATGGAAAATAAACTCATGAACACGTAATAGCGTTAAAAAAATTGTTTTTTTTGTTTGTTTTTTTTTTAAATAGAAAATAAAATATATAAGCATATTAAAATTGTTTTTTGTTTTTTAAAAAAAATAATATAAAATGTCGAGAAGTGCCTTACGTGCAATAATCGTTTAAATGTTCTGGAAATCTCACCCTTCTTCCAGAACGCGTCGTTTTAAGTTTATTTTCGGATACTGTCGAAGTATCATCGTGTGTGTTGGTTTTTGGATGAGGTATTATAAGTGTCGGAGTCGTGTCGTTCGATTGTACCGAAGGAAGATCCACGTAGATAGGATTTCCTTCTAAATACGCTGCTTTTAAGCGATCGATGCTGATGCTATCGTTGGTTCCGTTCTTATCGACTATATAGTACTTAGATTCACGTTGAAGAACTTTGAAGGGTCCTTCGTATGCTGATTCGAATGGTCGTCGATGCGAGTCTCGACGGACGAAAACGTGTGTACTATATCGTAAGTCAGGTTAAACGAAAACATCAGTCGATTGAGGTCGAGTGGAAGCAGGTTTAACTGAACGCATTGCGTTTGTAAGCCTGTTCGTGTAGGAGGTTAGATCCATGTTCATTGAAGAGGATGAAGGATCCACGAATTCTCCTGGAAGTCGAAGTGTCGTTCCATAAACGAGTTGAGACGCAGTGTATCCAATGTCAGCTTTCACTGCATTGCGGATACCTAGTAAGACGAGTGGAAGAGCGTCGGTCCATTGTGAAACGTTTGCAGCTGATAGCGAAGCTTTCAGTTGTCGGTGAAAACGTTCTACCAACCCGTTTGCTTGTGGATGGTAGGCGGTCGTTCGGAAGCGAGTGATTCCTAAAAGTGTGGTCAGACGACGGAAAAGATCGGATTCAAACTGACGTCCGCGGTCTGTAGTGATGGTTGAAGGGCAGCCAAAGTTTGCTACCCATCGTTCGACGAAGGTGCGAGCCACTGTTTCAGCAGTGATCTCCTTGATAGGTACTGCTTCTGGCCATCGAGTGAAACGGTCTACGCAGGTTAAGAGAAAAGAGTATCCATTTGAATCTGGTAAAGGTCCTACCAAATCCAGATGAACATGGTCGAAACGAGCATCGGGAGTTTTAAACGAGCCTAAGGGACATTTATTGTGTCTGATAACCTTAGCTTTTTGGCAGCTTACACAGGAGCGTGCCCACTCCCTCACGTCTTTATTCATTCCAGGCCAGCAAAACCTTTCTGCTATAAGCTTGATGGTTGCACGAACACCTGGATGAGAAAGTTTGTGCAATGTGTTGAAGACATTGCGTCGATAATGTTTTGGCACGATTGGGCGATCCCTACCTGTAGATGTGTCACAAAGTAAGGTTTCCTTACCTGTTCCCATCTGTTTGATGCGTAGTTCAAGGGTTGTGGACGATAACTCGTGCTGAAGATCAGTGTCTTCTTTTTGAAGCTAGGCGAGTTTAAGAAGGTCGATTCCTTGGAAACTGTTCAAGGAAGTTATGCGAGATAAGGCGTCTGCAACTACATTGTTTGCTCCAGAAATATGTTGAATATCTGAAGTAAACTGCGAAATGTAGTCCAGTTGTCGAGACTCACGGGGGGAGTACTTGTCAGAAGGAGAGCTTAACGAGAAAGTGAGTGGTTTATGGTCCGTGAAAAGAGTGAATTCACGACCTTCGATGTAGTGTTGGAAATGCCGTACAGCACAATACATAGCTAGGAGTTCCCTACCGAATGTGCTGTACCTCGATTCGGTGTCTAGCAACCTTCTAGAGAAAAATGCCAAGGGTTGCCAGGAGTTGTTAACCCATTGTTGTAAGACTCCTCCGATTGCTGAGTCGGATGCGTCTACTGCGATACTAATGGGTGCTTCGGTGTCCTGATGTGCAAGCATTGTTGCTTTAGCGATCAGTTCCTTAACTGTGGAGAATGCTTTTCGTGCAGTGTCGTCCAAATTAATCGATTTCGTATTTTCACGATGTTGGTCTGTAAGAGGTTTCATAAGTAACGCGCATGTGGGTACGAATCGTCTATAGAAACTTACGAGGCCGTTAGACGTTCGTAATTGCTTGATTGTGGTCGGTTCTGAGTAATCCAGAATGGCTGCCACTTTGTTTCTGAGGGTTCGAATGCCTTGAGCATCGATAGTGTGTCCCAGAAAGTCTAATGAGTCGGTTCCGATTTGACATTTCTGAATGTTTACAGTAATGCCATGTTTTTGTAGTCGTTCGAAAACAAGATCCAGATGCTTGAGATGTGTTTCTCTGTCCGGACTTGCGATTAGACAGTCGTCAACATACGCGTGTACGAAGTTGAGACCTTGAAAAACGTCGTCTATGAACCTTTGGAATGTTTGGGCAGCGTTTCTTAGACCGAAAGGCATTCGCAAAAATTCATAGAGTCCGAAGGGAGTAATGATGGCGGTTTTCGGTATGTCGTCTGTGGCCATGGGGATTTGGTTATACGCTTTAACCAAGTCGATTTACGAAAATACAGTTGTACCTTCCAAGGTAGCTGTCAAATCGTGAATGTGAGGCAACGAATAACGGTCGGGAATGGTTTTCGCATTCAATCGCCGATAGTCACCAGTTGGACGTCAATCGTTGCTTTCCTTTGTAGGGACCATGTGTAACGGAGATGCATATGAGCTATTTGACGGTCGTATGATTCCTAAGTCTACCATGTGGTCGAACTCGTTTTTCGCCAACCTTAGCTTTTCGGGGGCTAGTCGTCGTGCTTTAGAGAATACAGGTGGTCCTGTAGTCGTGATGTGATGTGTAACGTTGCTGGTTACACACGGTAGTTTCGGTTGAGTTTGTTGTATTCCAGGGTACTTATCTAGTAGTGGTTGATAGAGTGGGTCTATCATATGCTTAACTGTGACTGGGGATACTCTGCAACCAGTAAAAGAAGTTACGCAAACGGATAAATTAGTGTTTCCGTCTACTAGCCTCCGTTTGCGAGTGTCGATGATCAGATTGTGGTGTTGTAGAAGGTCCATACCAATGATTGGTATAGAAACATCTGCAACAACGAAAATCCAGTGGATGGGTTTGCGTAAACCCACGTTAAGGTAAACGTACCTTTTGCCATACGTAGCGATCGGTTTTCCGTTTGCCGCCTGTAAGTTTAGAGCCGATTCTTGAAGCCGATCGTTGGGGTTCGCTGGGAAAACGCTAACTTCTGCGCCAGTATCGACGAGGTAGAGAACTCTCGTTGTCACATCTGTGACAAATAACAGACGGCTATGTTCGCCGGCTACGGTTGCCGTTAACGCGTGCCGGCTTGGAAGTTTCCCGAATTGTTTTTCGAATCAGTCGGTTTCGTGTTGGGAAAATTGCAGGGTTTTCTGCAATTTCTGGAAAACTTTCCATACTGGTTATGATACCAGCACCAGTCGGGGTTATCCGTCTCTCGTGGTCTAGAGACAGATCGCTTACGAGAAATGCTTCTACGTGGTGTGCGCGATCTCTTACGGTCGGTACGAAGACTAAGATAACGCGTGAGTGTGTGACATAACTCGGTTATATCGTTCTGAGTCGTGTGAGGCTTTTCTTTGACTGAAAATACCTCGGCAGTAGATTTCGTAATTTCTAGAATGCGGTCGACAGATGCAGCTAGCTCGTCTAAGCCGTTGTTCTGGAACGAGACCAGAACTGCTTGCACCTGTTGGGGAAGTTTTGACAAGAAGAGTTGTTTGAATAGACCTTCGTCGAAAGTTCTTAGGCCTATAACCTCTCTCATCCGTTGCAACATGTCTGTCGCAGAACCGTGTTTCAGGTCGATGTTATTGAAGAGTTGATCTAACCTTTGTCGATCGGTTAGATCTCCTCGTTTAAGAATCGAGCGTTTTAAGATTTCGTAAGGGTCGGAAACATCACTAGTAAACATACTAGGTGTCACGTACCTGGTAGTGCCTTGACTACTGCGAGGAATTGTGCACGTGTGTCGATCACGCTGTGCTCGGAGAAGTCGGCTTCTGCGTAGCAAAACCAGGCTTCGATGTTGTCGGGCCAGAAAGGCATCAGTTGAAACGAAGGTGGGGACAAAGTCTTAAGCTTGAGTACTTTAGGTGTCTGTTCAGTCATGATGAAATATTAAGTATGATAATGAACGAGGGGAAAATATATATATCCAAGAAAAAGCACGAAAAAAATCACAATGTTTAAAAAAAATAAAAAATAAGGCAATGATATATAAAAATCCCAAAAAGGAACAGACTCACAGTTGCAATAAGGTGTACCAGATCACGTCGGTTTCACCAATGATGATGTCACAGGTATTCAGTGTTTGACAACGCTTCTACCAGTAACACCTAATATATTTCGTTCCCACCCAGAGAAATCAAAAGACAGAGTCGAGGAGATCGGAAGAGTATATTTGGCGATGACCAATATATCGGAATTCTCTGATCTAATCTGGCTAGCGATTGCGGTTGATGTTGAGGACGGCGTTACCACACGTGATCTGGTGCGGATGCCTGACCGAGCGCGTTCAGCTAGATGAGTCCACTAAAACATATGGTCAGCATCCAATGTCGAAAACTTACAGAGCTATTTATTTTAGGAATTTATTTACCGCTACAACCTAGTTCCGACCGCTTACGAAGTAAGCTTCGGGCATAGAAATAACATCAGAGTAAGATCTAACTTTTTTTAGCGGAATATTTCAAAGAGCTGACAAAATGTTTGATATTTTAAGATATCAAAATAAACCACATTGTCGATCGCAATTGCTATTTGATGCAAGTTCCTGGCGGAACTTCAATGTGTGCGTTATGGATGGTAGGTCTTGTGAGTTAAAGGTCCACCATCCTAGATTCTGACCCTTTGAAAAGTGTCAACTGGAATGCACGTAGACATTCAGTTGCTAATCGTCGTCACGTTGAACTCGTCGGGTTCTCAGATACATTGTCAAAAATGTACCATGGCGTGCTTCATTGCGTTATGGAACTGTACCGAGGTAGTTACTGACTCACTAGACGAGCTTTTCCCAATATGTTATAGATGACAGAGACTGCCAAATTTCTTGGCAGCATTTCAGGAACGCCGCTGATAAATTGGCGGAAATGCACAAATATGTGAAGCTATCTATACTGAAAGTGTATGAACTTGGGATTGTTGAGGGAGCTGCTTCTTTCTCCTCCGATTTCTTTGACAAAATCAGGGATATGCCATTGCAAAATGGAAATAGGGTTTGTTTTAACCTTTTGTAATTCAGGTTTTTTTGTCTTCAGTAATAAGGATAGTAGGTTGATAAACTTGTATTAATCCTGACACTGCTTTCCAGTGAAGGTCCAGCTTCTCCTTGAAAGTATTCACTGATGGGGCTGATACCACTTGTTCGGGTAAGGCGTTCCAGTCAATGGTTGCTCAATGAGAAAAACTGGACCCCACTTTAAGTTTATTAGATCACAGTTTATGAATCTTCTTCCTATGACCTCGGAGATTATTAGTGCTGGAGGGAGCAAAAAGATAAGACATATTAACACCCAAATCATAATTAAAGATACGAAATGCCAGTATTAGGTTACCTCGCGTCCTACGACACGGCAAAGGGAGAAGGTTTAGGCGTTTTAAACGCTCATCGTAAGGGAGTTTAGAAAGACCCTTCACTAATTTCGTTCCCACACGCTGACACGCTTAAGTGAGTTAGTATCCTTTACCAGACATGGGCTAGCTGCTTGGACACAATACTTGGATACAGTGCTCTAAATATGGTCTTAAGTAGGTGGGATATAAAATTCGAAACATTCCTCGTCAAAGCATTTAAATGCTCGACAAAGTGACCATAACGCACGAGAACCTTTGACAGCGGCTGCGCTGCAATGCGTAGTTGTTTTTAAGTCATGACTTATTATTACTCCTAAGTCTATGCTCTTGAACGCATGGAAGAGGTTTACCATCAATAGTATACTTGTAACTATTACCGAGACCGACGTGCATTAGCACACTCTTCCTAGAATTGATTTCTAAGCCCCAACCTCGAGGCCAACTAACTAAATCGTTTAAGTCAGCTTGAAGATCCAGCTGATCAGCGTCACCTATTGTTCTCCAGATTTTTACATCATCCGCAACCAATACTGTCGACGGCCTAAGCAACAGCGGTAACTTATTAACGTAGGGAAGGAAGAGCAGAGAGCCTAAGATGGTGCCTTGGGGTACACCACTTTTGACCGGCTTCCAATCGGATAGCGTTCCGTTGACCCTCACTCTCTGTCTGCGGTCACATAAGAAATTTCCTATCCACTCATGTACAGTACCTGATATTCCGAAGCTCGTGAGCTTCTGCATAAGACCTACGTGTGAAACCTTGTCAAATGCTTTGCTAAAATCTATGAATATCACATCGGCAGACAGACCGTTATCTAGGGCTGCTGTCCAATCCTCCCTCGCAATAAGCAAGTTAGTCAAGTCAGTCAGCTACAACGTGTTGTTCAGGAGCTAACAGATTGTGTAAATCTATGTGACTTAGCAACCTGACCCGAATTAACATTTCTAGTAACTTAACGACTATACTGGTTGTACTAACAGGCCGGTAGTTAGATACTATATGTCTCTGACCGTCCTTAAATATAGGACTGACTATAGCGCCCTTCCAATCTCTAGGGAGTTGAGCGAGTGAAAGGGACATGTTGAAGAGTGTCACAAGCGGTTTTGAAATAATGTCCGCAAGAGATGACAGCAACCGTGGATGTAACCCGTCAGGGCCCGGTGCCTTACCAGGTTTGAGGTTAGTTATCAATGGAAGGACAGTTTCCTCAGTCACATGTACAGATTCTATGGTTGGTATCTCGGTGTGAGTGGGACAAGTATTTGTTACAATAAACGTAGAGAAGACTTCGCCAAAATAGTTTGAAAAAGTCTCAGCTTTTGCTCGATCTGATTCAGCTAGTAATTCTGAATTTTCGTGTAACAGTAACGGGGGAATACCATCACTACGTTTCGTCCGCCGTTTAACATACGAAAACAATCGTTTCGGACAAGTACGGCTATCATATACTAACTGTCGTTCGTAAGTGGTACGTAATTTGGCTATGGTTTTCTTACAGATATTATGGAATTTCTGATACTCACGTTTAAATGGTTCGTGACCTGTCAACAAGAATAAGTCCCAGAAATGTTTCCTACGCTTTAACAGCTTCCGGGTTTACTTATTAATTCATGGAGGGCAGTGTGATAGCTTACGTGCTGACCATGGGATAAACGGCGACGTTACGGACTCGAATGTAGCCTTAAACTTATTTCATTCATCTTTGATCAATCCATCCGCGTCGACCGACCAATCAGTCGAGATAGCACAGTTTCTGATCGCCGGAATATTGGCTCGCCAGATATTGGGGCGGGGTGGAGCAGATACGAATTGTATACCATGTGTCCTAAACTTAAAGTGAATTACAACGTGATCACTGTTCACTACTGGGGGAAGGTGCTGAATGTCAAAGACATCCTCACAGTGGTGGGTGGGGGCGAGGTCCAGCAGTGACGGATCCTGATTGAAATCAATATGTGTCGGTTTTGTGATACATTGCACAAGTGCACACTGAATAACGGTAGATAAAAGGTCGCTATCGAAACCACTACCTGGAGCTGTAAGCTCTATCCAGTTGATATGCGGTGCGTTGAAGTCCCCAATGATGAGACAACATTCTGCCATAATCCAAGAACAGATGTGTCTTAGGATAAAGTCATCAGCAAGACAAAACGGACTACGGTATATCCCATTTTGTTAGACTTAGGAAGTTATTGAAAATGATTGTACCTTTTGAAGTAGGAATTAGCGGATAAAGAAATACGTTTCATCCATTAAGAAAACTTTACCAAACGATCGTCAGTTTACGGTTTTAATATCAGTCTTTCGATAGATGGAAACAAGATTCCGAAAACCAGTACTTTTTACATTAGTTCGTACAAAAAATGATTTAGGGATAAGGATATAAAGTTTAAGGGTCTGTATCAGTTCTCCTGGTGTTATGGGAATTCTTTCTCCTATGTTGTCAAACATAAGACAATGTCCTTAAATTTAATAATGTCAACCTATGCTCTGTTTCAGCAGTGACTCCTGGCTCTTCTCACGGTGCTAAAGTCTAGACACTTGTAAGAATTTTCCAAAATATCTTTTAAGTTGGTCATTCATAGACAATAGAAACAATTAGGATTACTTAAACTTTCCACCAATCGTTTAGACTCACATGATAACACGTCTCAACCTAGTTACAAGCCAAACGTCGTACCTTTCATGAAGCGCTATCGGCTCCTTTTATCGTTACAGTCCTTACCGTTTGCGTCTGTTGAAATATGTCTGCTGAACATAAAAAAAGATTCTCCCTGAGTTTATTTCTAACTATGTTGGGTTTAAAATATGGGATGGTCATCTGATTTTCTGGAAAGCCAAGATCCGGAAACATGTACCAGCCGCAGACATGTCCGCATCATTAAAAGTTTGTTAGCACCTTCCAAAAATATGTATGGGGCCTTCAGTTTGTATTTTATATTTCTATTGTTACCCATAGATATATACAAACCAGTCAGATAACTTTAATGCTGATGCAAATAAAGATCAATCAGATCTGCTACACTTCACATCAACACAGATGGGAGAAATTAAAATCAAAGTGTTGAGGATAGAGTTATTAGTAGTATAGATACCAAGAAGCAAAACAAAAAATATATTGCGGAAGCAATAGTCGAAACTATTAAATATAAATATCCTATGTTCAATGTTTAGAAAGCCGACATCACTTCGGACTCCATCGTCATTAAGAAAATATACTGCCCATTATTTTTACTCTCTGAAAAAGTGACTTACACTGAGTTACGAAGCGTCAGATCTAATTTTGCTACTCATTGGGATATTACAAATATATCATTTATTTGCCCATTAGTTTGCTCTCTGCGGCCGTATGGTTGAGTTGGCTGTTAAAAATGAACGGTATGCGTAGACTACGGATACTGAATCGTAGGTGGCTTCGCAACATTACTCAATAATGGTGATGTCGTTAACCATATCACCTCTAACAAGACTTAGTATTAACATAATTTCCAACCAATACAATCCTATCATTTACTTTAATGCGTCCAAGGTACTGGATTTTGGCATCAGACCATGCTTGAATCAAGTCTGTGTACCTAAGGTCACTCAGAATTTCTTCCTTGAGAAAGCGAATTAATACAATTTGGGACCAAAGTATTTTGAGTGAGCAACCTCAGTAAATGTAATTTGACCTAGACATGGAAAGTAATAGTCCCCAAAAAGTTACCGAGAGTATCTACTTTAATATTACATTAAGCTATCACACTATAGGTTTTCTAGTGTTGTTTAAGCCAAGCACATTATATTACTTTTTTCATAGTGTTCTCAGTTACTGTAAGTTTCTGTATCATTTTCCATTCGCAGAATATCCCATTCGACTGCATTCAGCATTACCTCTCCAGGCCAGATGACCCACCTCCAAAGTCTTTACGACGTATCAAACGTGTAGCTGTTCGTCGACGCTCACGGCATTTACGTAATGTAGGAGAAATAATTGAACACCATCTTCATCCAAACAGTGTTACTTCTAAACAGACTGAATCTGGTTCATCTTCCTATGCACATCAACCTTCAACATTGGAGTGGGATGCAAGAAAACATTCTAATTGGACCGTTATACAAAAAACCTCATCGTGTATGTCCCTTGATACAGAAATCGATTGTCCTAGTGAGGACAGTGGAACGTCTCTGAGTAGTTGCACTTGCGATGATTATTTAACCGATACTTCAAATTCCACTAATGAAGAGGATGATTAAGACCACCTTATAACTGTGGTATTTCAACGATTTTTGGTCATTTAATGTTTTACTTGGTCTCTACTAAGTTTTCCTTTTCCCCTGTATTTAATAATCCTCATGGCTGAGACATAGTCTTGTGAATTGTCTGCACAGATGAAATATGTCTAAGTGTTATTGTCAGTTTGTTTGCTTCTACCTAAATCTCCTTCATTAGGTCTTTAGCAATAGATTTTTAAATCTTTATTTTAGCTTTGGTTATGTGTTTGTTTTGCTTGGTGTGAGTTCATACAAGTTTCTATTTAAATTTAGTTTTCAAATATACATGAAGTATTTTGGTTTACTTAATTAAGACTGACCTTTGTCACATGTCATTCTATCTTAAAGGTTATTTTTTTAAACAAACTACTACCATTAGTACATGTGAACGCAAAACCCACCAAATCTGATCCAATATTTTGTCATACTATTTATAACAACTTGTGTCAATTGATCCTTCCAGTTTTTATTTTCAACTAATCAATAATTCTCTGATGTATATCTTATATATGTGTACATTGTGATATTCTCTCTAAGATTCACTTTCTTTGTTCGCACATATATGTAAAATGTCTTATTAATGAGAAAATCTTGTCAGTCATTGGTATTAAACAATAAATGCATTCTGACATAATACCATTATAAATGTTTACTTTTTGCAGAGAACTTCTTTTGTATGCGTCTAACTGATTTGGTACTCAGTAGAGAAAATCACTCAACAGGGAGTGATAGAAACAATAATCACGGATTAAATGTGAAAAATTCAGTAAGAAATTGTAGTAGGAGGATTGCTAACTAAACTCTTCACGTTCTTGGGAGATTTATAATTTGAGCGATGGATACGGAATAAATACAAAGGAAAATACCTTAAGTACACAAGTCAAATTAAGTCATTCTATATTTCAGGCGACTTATTTTATTGGCCAATGCAAGAAAGTTGGTTGAGCATCACTTCTTTTCATATGGGTCCGGTTTCTAGAACAGAACAACTATTGCTTCTACCGCTTGAGAAACTTTGAGTCTGACATTTTGGGAGATAACTAGCCCGACGGAATATTGAAAATGGTTGATTTACGCTGGTACTATAACCAGTTTGAAGCAAGCGGCCGGAAACTGATCCGTTCATTGTCTTGACCACATTGTAAGGTGTTCACGAGGTCGACAATGAACATCGATCAATGTAATTTGCTCTTTAGTAGTTAGAATGACCAATACTAAAGGAGGTGGTTATTATAGGTATTTCATGGAAAACACTGGTTATAGTCTTCATGCATTGGATGTCCTATGCACTAATTTATGTATTCCCTTTACCAATGTTTCATTGGTTGCGTCACCTGAGCTGTCGGTAGTTGAATATGGATTTCTCACGGTTCGTAATTCACCTAGTACAGCTTTCATAACAATGTATTGAATTTTAAGAATTTCCCGGGGTATCCGTTTTCCCTGACAATAATATGTAAGGAGTCTAGCTTATTATTATTTATTATTTTAACACATATATATTGGTACAAGGAGGCACCAAATACATATGCGCCACAAAAATCCCATTTGATTTGTGAAAAGGTTGTGATACTGCCCAAACCGAAGCAGGTGATTTTCTTAGGTGGCCACACCCCGAGCCTTCGACCTAAAGGTCTGATCCACAAGAAAGTGGAGCAACGTAAGGATATGCAGTCTCATGGAAGCCGGTGACCAACAATTGGTTCATACGCCATTTGTTCCCGCAGGATACTGGAGCCCATGTGAACCATTGGTTTGGAATCCGGTTAAAGCGCCGGACATTTGCTTTTCGTCCTCTCAATTTTGTAAGCAACACCCCTGCCACGAGAAGGCAATGAGTAGGACTTCCCTGGCAGAAGCTATATACGCGTGGCCATGTGAGAGCATTTCGAGAGGGAGAGCGGACTCCCCCCACTCTCGGCCGTACCAGGGCATTTGGGGGCAGGAGTCTAGCTCGTATTTAACCACATCAGCAGGGAGTATAGGTTTTATTTTATAGCGAAGCGTTCCTGCTAAGTTTTCTTTTTATTTCATAGATAAAGAAATACGGAGTATGTATACCACCTTATTTAACTACTTTTCCTGTTAAAATTCTTTATTGATCTATCAGTTGTTCCCGTTATCAGAACATCTAAGAAGGTCATCTTCACACTTCCCTGCACGTGTAAGCTTACTGGTGGGAACGTACTTCATTAAACTGCTTGAGAATTTTTAGCTTTTCGATACTACTTCCAAAGAAGATCAGTGTATTATCCGTATATCAACAGTGAAACGTAAACTTTTTATTAAACGCTTTTCGAGTTTAGATAGAAAAACTAAATAATATTATGACAGTGTATATCGTATTGAAATGTTCAAGATTTTATTAAACTTCTAATTTGTTGTAAGCTAGGATGAAACACAATATCATGAAAAATTGTGTGTATAAATAATTTATTGAATATCGAAATTTATGCATCATAATTAAAATATAACCCTAATAATAGATCACGAGTATTTTATGATAAATGTGGGATAGGATTTCTTAGTTTGAAGAAAGTAAATACACTTATTTTTCACAATTTAAATGTTTAAGGGATTCATATTCTTCCTTTGATCGGAAAATACCCTGTTTATGGATTTATAATAAAACAGTAAAATGATTAAAGTATAAATATCTTTATATATATATAATTTGGAGAAAAGAACTATAACTTGAGTAGATTTACCGATCTTATCTTGTTCTATATGGCGTTTGGCTGGCTTTTTACTGTTACGATCTTCGTTGTGGTACCAACTAGAATCATCGATAAGTATTATAATGATCGTTATAATAAAGCCCATTTACCAAGTGCAGTCAATGTATTATGCTTTGCACTGGATATTTTTGCATGGCAGTTAATAGAACTACCACTGTCCGGCAATACAGGCTTCGGACTTGAAACCTGGTGTTTAAGAGGTGAGTGATCTAGGCACTAATCCATGGTGCCATGGATACACTGGATTTTACGTAATCAATAAAACTTTAAATGAAGAACATAAATATTTTGAACTCACCATCCTTCTCATCTCAATCTCAGAGAATGTCATTTACTTGAGTATAGTCAAGCTTCTAATCATATCATATACAGGGACACTTAAAGTTTTACAGGTTGTTCACTATCGTCTTCATAATCGCTTTTCTGGCGTATACTTTGAAAAAAGGAACGTAAATACGACGATTTATGTGTTGTATACAAGCTAAGTCAGAGGGAATATGCATTTGTAGTGTTCTTGCTCTTAATCTATGTCGTTACCCTTTGATGACCGGAATTTCTTCCCACTACATAGTTGTATTTCTATAATGTTTTTATAGGGTAGATGACAGCCTGTTTTACTTTGATTTTTTTTCTCAAAAATGAAAGGTTGTTCCTCTGAACCTGACTGACTCTTCGATGTATTATACATGTATCGGTTTTTCAAATGGGTCAGTAAATCTTACCATCTCATGAGGATCCAACAGCCTGCGGATTTCAAAACGTAGGTATTATTTTGTAAGTGTGCTATAGATGAGAACTCAACTACTTCAAATTTGTTGTGAAGAGTCATGATCATAATTAAAGCTCCAGCAGATATAAACCAATTACGTTTTCATCAGTAAAATATGGATCAACTTTATTCTATATTGTGTTACAGTTTGGATTAAACTGATGTTGAACAGTTATTATTACTCCAAGTCGTAATGAGTTTGCTTAAAATCTTGGAATTAGAAAAATACCTACGAATCTGATCTCACATGTTGGCTTTCAACGGATTTGATGTATAAAATATGATCCAATTAATTACACTGATATTAACGTAATTAATAATCGCATTAGTAAATTTCGACATTTTTATAATTGCGGTTAATACTTCGAATCAATTTCATATTCCTATTTATTGATTGGTTTCAAAATCGAAAGATGAGGCCTTTGTTGTTTGTGGTGGATAATGTGGGAGCCGTTAACGAGACAGGATATGTTTACGTTAGTTCGAAAATCAACAGAGTAAGGATTGTCAATCATTATATATAACAGCCTTTTACTACAGATATTGGTTCGTTTTACAGTTATAAATTTCTTTCCAACACATTTTGAAACTGCCATAAGTAGGAGGCGAAATATAAATAGAAATATATGGATTCTCTTACTTTGGGCAAATGATTCCATAGATTATTGGCATGTTGTCTTAGTAAATGTTGTCTTTCCTCTTCCACAATTCGTTTTTCTTCTAAAATGCGTTGTTTTTCTGCATTTAGCTCTTTTTTCGCCTGTTCATACTCTTGCATTATACGTTGACGTTTTTCAATTAACAATTTATGTGCTTCATTAGCGTATTCCATTTGTTTAAGATGACGTTTTTCTAATTCTGCTTGTTCTAAACGTTCGTCTTCTTCAAATTTAGCTAACATATAATTTCGAATCTGTAAAGCTTCTTGCTTTTCAATCTATTTGATGTGAAAAGAATCAATTAAGAAACCATTTAGCTCTGTAGCGGTTGGTAAGCAGCATATACTCAGGCTAATTAAGTGAGTATATTTAGCCATTACAAAATCGGTTTCTGTAAGTAACATGGCTAAATGAATGACTGTATAAAATAACACAGACCACTGGAATGTGCAACTAGCTTTTACCCAGACCATCGGGATCGACTAAATAGACATAGTGGGACCAGATAATCATTAGACAAAACATATGTACAATTCTGGTTTTCATCTGAGACATACATTTCATCTTAGTTAGGACTCATCAATGGGATGTATCTGTATCTTGGGTCTTCTTGCTAAACACCACCGGAATTATCATCATGTAAATTCTCTCGCCTAGCCAATACACACATTTTTTAAGCTTTGTGCCTCTTCATTATAAGAGAAACTTAGTCAAATGCCTTGCAAATAGAGCTCTTAAGATATGCTCAGTCGACACTATCGATAGAGAATTACAACACATTCATAATATTTTGATTGAATTAGGATATCCACTGGGTTTCCTGAAGAAACACTTGCGCGTAAAAAACAGGAAAATAGTGACCCTGACGGCTAATAAGAAACCACTTTTCTTGAAACTGCAATTCAATGGTGATGTGGCTAGCGATGTATTACGAGATAGATTGACTAAATCAATAAAGAGAACGTTTAATGCTGCCAACCTCTGCCTATCGTATTCGACCCGATCGATGGTGATTCCGCAATTGAAGGATAAGTTACCTGGTTATGCCACTTCTATGTGTATCTACGAATTCAGCTGCTCCTGTGGAGAAAGCTATATTGGGCGCACTACCAGGCAACTGAACCAACGAGTTAGTGAACACCTCCCTTCGTGGTTAGGAAAAGGTTACGTCAAAACAATACGCAGCTCGGTTCCATCACACTTGATCGATAGCGGTCATATAGTGAACAGAAACAAGTCGTTCAAAGTTATTTATCGTATTCCCACTAGTTTCCCTTATGGTGTTCGATCTCGTCTCTTACACATAGCAGAAGCTATAGGAATTCGAGCCAACAAGCCAAGTCTTTGTGTCCAGAAGAAATTTGTAACTCCCTTATCTCTCCCTTGGCCTTAAGTAATAAATGAATGTATTTATTTATTTATTTATTCTCTTTGTTTATTTTTTTTCTTCACACCCTCCTACCACTTTATTTTCTCTCAACTATACGTTTCATGGTCCAATTATCTGAACATTTCTTATTACGTCATCTTATAATTTTATAATTGTTATCTCAGTTTCTATATTTTTCTAATCATTGACCTATTTCAGATTATGTAACATTGATTTGAACCTTTATTATTATTGCTTATCAAAAAAACTAATGCACCTGTTGTCACACCATCAATTTGTACTTTTCACATTTTACTTATTATGTAATCTTTTCCATTGTTATCATTGACTTATAAACTACCTTGATTGGTTTAATAATTTCGTATATGCATATAAATATTACTGTATATTAGAGTAAAGCCTGATGAGGATCTAATCGAAAACAATATTGTTCGCTTATATATGTTGTTCTAAATCATTATTTAGTGTAAAACTTTCTGTGTTCTCAGTGATTACATATTTGATGATAACTAATCATAGAAAATAACTTTGAAATAATATATCCAAAATCAGTCAACTAACTTAAAATCACCCCTTGCTCCGAGCTGTCGCATTCTCTTTAAGAGTTATCGAAAAGCTCATTATGCCATAAAAAGGTATTACACAATAACTAGAGGCCAGAACAGCTCTATCAATGCTTTTCGTGTTATAAACGTTGGCTTTTAGTAAGAGAAGGCCAATAGAATTCCACCAATAGCATTTAGCTGAAGTATAACCTCTTTGTTTGTTTAACTAGCGCTTAAATTTAGAAATTTTCTTTCTACTTGAACACTGAATGTTAGTATCACAAAATCTAATTATCTTTTAAGTAGTCATGTGGAATATGGTGAGGAGCAAGAGCAGTATAAGAATAAAAATCATTTCCGAACTATTCTTCAGACTTCACCTAAATTGTAAGAGACGGTTGATTTTAGTATAAATAGCTAGGTATGTTTTTTCATGTTAATTAAATAAACAGGTAACAGTACGTCTGAAGTTCTCAATATATATCTGGCACTGATTCTCAATAGAAGTGACCTGGGAGTCATACAGAGTTATGAAAATCAGAGCATTTTACCATCCCGTTGAAATCAGTGGATAGAAAATGGCTAAGGTTGTGGTCTCTGAGCCGGATGGCTTAGTTACGAAGCCTTAATTGATTTTTTGAACATTATCAGCACGTACTTCAAAGAGAAGAGATATTAGAATTTCTCTGCAGTTTACGAACAGCTTATTTGAAGAGTGGTTTTACGTACGACTTACACAAAGACAGCAACCTGTTGAAAATCCTCCATACATTATTGTCTTGAAGTGAGTCAGAAACTGTTAATATACTGGTAGCTTCTATGAAGGAAGTGAAACAAGTTTGCTGAAAATATTTTTCAGGACCTCTGAGTGTTCGATCCATGGGATGGCTGGCTCACCGCAAAATGAACAACTCTAGAAGACAAACTACGTCTCTTTATCCAATCACAAGTTAACCAAGATATAACGGATCTGAAGAAACAACTCTTAGATCAATATATTCACTATTTTTCTTCCAACCGAGCTGTAACGACCAAGGAGAAATAGCAGGAGAGTTTAAAGAAACCACGAAGGATCGGCGGAGTATTAGTTTTTCTATAAGTGTTCAACTAGTTTCACCAAATACTATAAGGAACACTGTCTAGATCATAGATATATTTAATCAATATATAACTAGGTGACAGAAACCTATTAAAAAGAATCAACATATATATCTTAATCTTGAACATATAGACTGAAAATCTGTATTTAGATCTTACTCTTCTTGTTGAAAAAAAACCCATATTTTATAGTTCGCTTACTCATGAGGTTATAGTACAAAGAATTGAATACGAGAACATGAAAAGTTTTTCTACATGTTACAAATGTATTCCACTTAGGTACTGTCAACTGAATCATGTCTATAAAATCTCATATAATAATTATAGCTTAAAATCTACCATAAGAATCTATATTTGACTCTCGATTATTAACTTTTAACTTTTTCACTAATTGAAATCATGAGTCAATTAAAGCTAAATCACCATGAAAAACCTGGAAGCACTGGACGGCCATTTCGTCTTAGTATGGGACTCCTCAGGAGTGCGCATCCACGATCCCGCACTCCGTGAGATTAGAACACAGGACCTATCAGTCTCGCGCCATACTAGGACGAAACGGCCGTCTAGTGCTTCCAGGTTTTTCATGGTGATTTAGCTTCAATTGACTCATGATTTCAATAAGTGAAATTTCTAAAATCTCCACAAAACCACTTCTGATTTTAACTTTTTATTTTAAAAAAACCTATTTGCTATGGAGGCACATCTAATGAATTTTCATTATCAGATATCACCGATTAGATTACCTAACCTAGATCACCATTAAAATAGGGTGAAATATATTCAATTCACTAATCAAACGAAAACTATTTAATCAGTTTAAGAAAAAATAAAACACTAAATTATCACTGATCATTTTACAATTTAAGTGAAATTCGACAGATCATGTGGATTCAAGTAATAAATATTTCACAGGTTGAAATCATGAGTCAGTTGAAGCTAGACCACCATTGAAAACCTGGAAGCACTGGACGGCCGTTTCGTCCTGGTATGGGACTCCTCAGCAGTGCGCATCCACGATCCCGCACCACGCGGGGCTCGAACCCAGGACCTACTGGCTTCATCATTTTATTCACTCAATTAGTCTTAGTTAAGATGAACAGTAAATCTGCGGAATAATTAATACACTTAAAGGTTTGAATTATTTACTTATTGTATTATCATATAATGTATAAGTAGTTATACCAAGTACATATCTAATGGAGAGTGATTTGCTGAAGAAAAAAAATCCTTCTTATGATAAATTAACTTGTATCCACAAATTTATATCAGAAGTATACTTCATAAGTCAAGTTTAAAATATTTTTTTATGATAAGTTTACTTGACCAGTTTATACAAAAATTCATTTATGTAAACTTTATGTAAGACTGGGCAATCATATGATAATGAAGTGCTTACTTTTAATTCTATTGTTTAGTGTATACCAATTACGAATTCCTATCTAAGTACATTTTCATGTACACGTGATTATTTGTATATTAGTTTCATTATCTTATTGTAAATATTCTATGGACTAAATTTTAATCTATATACACATCTATATTTCAATTCCTATTCATTTCTATATATTTCTAACTAATATTTAACCAAATTACACTCATTAGTACATTAACTTGAGTATCTGACTAATAATCGAATTTAAATAAAACCAGAACAAACAATGATGCAGAATAATATGGATTCATTATATTTCGTGGTTTCTCGTCAGCTGCTTACCTCTAAAATTAACGTACAACTTATCTATCTCTGAACTCCACTCAACTATTACACCACCCATCCTTAATTCTAACACCATATATATATATCCTTTACATTCACTTATGTCAATTGCTCAATATTATTTTTTACCTCAATGCGAAATTCCAATACATATTTGGTTGTAAGCAGCTGACGAGAAACCACGAAATATAATGAATCCATATTATTCTGCATCAATGTTTGTTCTGGCTTTATTTAAATTCATAAAGGGAACTAATTGCATGTAATAATGGAATTATAAGTTTGATACTATTCTAATGTATGTTCATACTGTTACAAATATTGTTGAAGTACCGATGTAGTTTGTTAGTTCGATTTCATTATTACGAAAATAATAGTGTTCCATAGAAGGATTCATGAATAATGATATATGATAGAAAAAAAATTAAAATGTTATAAAACAACGATAAAAAAACAATTTGGTGAATTACATAGGATTAGAAAATGAATCAAATACTGCCTTAACAAAACACATATAAACTCAAGAATACAAGCAACACGATAACTTAAGAGGACACCATTCTCATGCTTAAAATGTTATGACTGTATAAATTAACCAGTTGAAGTGTTCTTTCATATGAAAGATTTATTTAGGGTAAGTTACTCCATTCAAAATTATTTTATTCTATCCAGGTAAGAGTTTATAAATTATCTAAACAAACAGATGTAAGAGATTGACAGTACAAAGAAATGATTCTTTGACTTACAAACTAACGCTTTAAATTTATAACCTACTGAAATGTACATTTAACTGAGACTATTTACCAGAGAGTTTTACGATTATTATGAACTATTCAACTAAAATACACAAGACATATGACAAACAAAAGTGAAATATTGAATAAAACAATGAGTTACAAGTTCTACAGAAGTTTTATGTTTACCTGTTTTTGTTTTTCTTTCAATAAAAGTTGTTCTTTATAATCTTCATAGAGTTTCCGTTGATTAGTTAACTTTGTTATCCATTGGTTTTCTCGTTCTTCTCTAATCTTTTTGTCATTTTCTTCCAAAATTAATGTTTGACGTATTTCTTCCAGTTCTCTGCGTTCTTTTTCTTTTTCTAACAGCCTTTTGCCTAGTTCATCCTACATTGTTGATTGAACAGAAAATTTGTTTTTTTTAGTATACTAAAGTAAGTATTTAATTCAAAAATATCTTTCATTTTATGAAGTTATTAGAGATCACGAATATTGTTAATAGACCAGTGAATCTTTAAGTATTCATAAGACACTTACGGAAAGCGTTCTATATTACCAAGGTAAAAGAAACTTGACAAACAAACTAGTTTTTCTCTGTAGCATAAAAAGTGGATCTAATCATATGTTGTTAACCCGGACGAGTTATACGGGTGTTCTAAAGACACTAAACAACGCCAACCAAACTAGTGCGAAAACGAAGAACATCATCATTAGTTAAGGTAAGCTATGCTGTAGACACATGCTAACTGAATCGCCAGAGCACTATCAAAAGGTGCTTCATGTAAACCTTTTCAAGTAATTCAGGCAAAAATTTAAAGTGGTTTGTACCAACAATTATTTTCGGAATTTAGTTTTCATTAAGAACTGACATCATCTACGAAACCATTGACAATCAGGAAGCGTCGAAATATGAATAAAGCTACAATAAATATCGGGACATAATAATACGGACTCATTATATTTTGATGTCGCTCATTAGCTGCTCACAATCATATCAAATCTACTAGTCAATGATGATCATTTTTCAGATTATATTAGTTTCTTATTATTTCGCAATAACCCAATAAGCAAATAATACATATTATGTTCATTCTCACTAGTCTTTTGTAACCAGAATAGGTGAAGTTTTTATTTTATGAAAATTTCCAATTCGGTGTCCTCTGTTTCTACTTTCTACCATTGTTTATTCTTGTAATTTTGTTACAGCTATGATATATCATATTGCATATATAGTATATTGTTGTTAATTAAACCCTATGTATCCCTTTAACAAGTATCCATTTTTGGTTATAGGGTATTTACCAAAAAGACATCGGAAATAGAGGTTTGTAATATTATTCATATAATTTTGTAATAATAATTGAGTTGTCTGAAACTCCCATAAAATTTTAATTATGATCAAACACTAAAAATCTAAGCAAAGGTGAATAGTGGCTAGCAGTGGAATCCAGGATGTTATTTGAGACTCGTCATTCGGATGCAGATAAACCAAAGAGTTGTTGTTCTCGCTGGGACCCGAACTCAGTATCGTCCGCCTCAAACGTTATCGCGTTATTCATTCAGCTACTGAGTGCGGATATCCACTAACTTATGCACTGCGGTGAAGTTTTAATTCACTTTGTATTATTTGCTTGAATCTTCCTATTAATGTTTAGGACTGCGATTGATCAGTCTCTTAAGGCAATATCGAGGCAATCCGTATAGGATTCACATTTGACCAATCGCAGTCCTAAACAACGATGAGCAGATTCAAACAAACAATACAAAGTGAACTAACAATCTATGTGTTTTCTTTACTTTCAAAGGTCAGGTTAAACAAATGATAACAAATAGAAACACACTAACAATTGAAAATAATTCAAAAAATTACTTGTAACTTTTCAATATGTTCTTGTCTTGATTTAAGTGCTGCTTTAATTAACTGTTCTTCATTATCTTTCTTAGTAGTATATGCATTAACTGCTTCCAATTCTTTTTGAAGACTTTCTTTTTCAGCTTTTGTATGTTCTTCACGTTCCTTTTGATATTGATCAATTTCTTGACGAATTAATTCTTTTCTTTTTTGACGTTTTTGTTGTTCACTATTTTGATGATTAAGTTAGAAGAAAAAGTGTAATATACAGTTGAGAAATAGTCAAACAATGTCTCGATTACATTATTGAACTCTTGAATGACTATGATTGCTTAACTGACAGTTTACTTTAAATGTTAACTAAAATAGATTTCAAAAGATATAATCACTTATAAACTGATTGAATAAATGAATGTACACAAAGTAATAGAATCTAACGTTAACAGACAAATTATTCAATCTAAGTAGTATTACTATGAATTACTTATTTGATAAAAATTTATCAACCATTAAAATTTATACAATTTAATGTTTAATAAATCTAGTCAATCACTGATTAGACGATATATTGTAATAAGTCTTATCAATCAGCTAATCCATCAAACAGTAAAAGTATGTTTGAGATTATGTAAAAATAACACAAGGAAACTAGTGTTGTTTGTCAGCTTCGTTGAAAGTCATTAAAATAAAATAGAGAGTCATCTTACTATGAACCCCTATTCTTGACGTTTATGATGATGACATTTCGAAAGACAATAAATTATCAGAACCAAACTATCTTGTTCAGAGGACGTAACACTTATAAGAGTCAACAAGTGAGAAATTTTTAAATGATTGATTTTAATGCACATTATTTGTTTACTCAATTTTCTTCATCCTAAGCTAAATTGAAGAGTAAATTTGTCCAAAATAATTTCAGTTCGAAGAATGTGTATGCAGATGTTTTTTCAATTATTTTAACAGTATAAAAGAAAATAACACTGTCATAATTTATGAGTCCATCTATAATTCAAATTGGTTAATAAACCATAAATGACATACTATTCATCTTCTTCTTTTATTCGCTTGACAACTTCATCAACCATTTGTTTATCATGTAAAAATTCTTGATAAACCTTTTTTCGTAATTCTACTTGTTCCATTATTTGTGTGTCTAATTCATTTCGAAGTTGAATTTGTGATTGTTTTCTACGAGTTTCTTCTTGTTCAGCTCTAATTAATTCATCACCAAGTTGTGAATTTAAACGATGAGCTTGTAAAGCTTCTTCAGTCTAATAATTTTTCAGAAATTAAAAAGATATTTTATCATCAAGTAGTAAGACAACTGACTGATATCTTAACTAGTCTTATCCAAAATTTGATAAACATTTCGTAATATCTACTGTCCTCTGATATTATTCATGAGAAATATCTAATCTCAATATAAAATGTTTTAAAATTTAAACAACACATAATAAAACTATGACTAAATTTACGTTAATAATAATGAAACGTCGAACAAAACTTCATAACCATTATCAAACTTGAGGTATTTATAACAAATACATACTCACATCCACTAAGTGGTGAGTAAAAGGAGGTTACTTTGATGAAAAAAATGATTAGCATAGAAAATCAAACTTTACATTTTAGATTTTGTTGAATGAAATAAATAATATTTCGTAAATGAGTTTGGTTAAATATTATTTTAATGAGGGTGATCAAAAATAACTGATTGTTAGGGAATCACCCATACTTCTGTGGTAGATTTGAAAATTGAAATATTTCCATCATAAGATTGAAAGGATTGTCTTCTAAACAATGAAATGGTTTCACTTTTCTAATTCTAATTTCCAACATTAAAATAAGGTGTATAGTTTCGTACTAATTAACTCCATCTATTAGTCGTGATACTTAAATAATTTCGATACACCTTTTATTTGGTCAAATTTAATCAGTTCATATGGCGTTTATGAAAAATAATCAGTGATAATGTATCGTCCTGAGAGAAATAAAATAACAACATTTTACTGACCATCAAGTCATAAGCAAGAGCACGTTTTTCGGCCATTTGTGCAAGTTGTTCTTTAGCTACATAAGCACTTCGTAGTTTGCTTTCAAGTTCACGAATTTCAATGCTTGCAAAATCAAAGAATAGAAATTCATTAAACTGACAAACAGCCTTCAAATGCACCATCAAAAGATGAACAGTATAACATCCAACATATATATTTACATTTTTTCACTGATTAACCAGATACTAATTTACGTATTAATGTGATAGTAAATGAAAATGAGATAAATTAAAGTTACTGATGTTCAAAAATTAAGAAAATTTGAGCGAACAATTGTTTTCACTAACTTCATCATCAGGCTCTACAGTTTTATCGATGTATTTATTCGGGTGTTTTGTGAGAACTAACATAGCTTAAGAATAGTTTTAACTGCGAACAAACTCTGGTCAAAAAGTCATTACATATCAGGGAACACTTGGCAGCTGTTTTGGCTTAGCATGGAATATCTTGATAGTGCCCACTAATAGAGAGGACGGAGGTCCATACTTTGGAGACAAGTGTGAGATAATATTGTTACGTTACTGCATATTCTCGTAATTGAACCTATTATACTGAAGTTAGACTGATGGGACAAAAACAGTGATTAACCAATGATAAAGAATGAGAAATTCGTTGAAGTTAAGATGATGAACTAATGAATCCTAAATCAGTGGTTAACAAAGTTGTATTCATCACAAAAACAGTGGTTCTTAAACTCAAACCCATGAGGACTCCTAGTTCCAGGATTATAAAGAATTAACAAACGAAGTGAAGCAGATGCTTGCTTCTTCTTGGTTTTCAACGTCTGATACTGTTCAACTGAAGTGTACATTATATATCGCCAAACTATTTCGGCTATTCTCAAATGTCCGACTGTTAAGCCGCAAAATTGACAAGCTATTTTATCTACTGTATCTTTCTCAGTTGTAATAAGTCAGTGGTATTTACTAATAATAGGCGCTTTTCTATTCAGAAGACCAGGAAACTTTGATTAAAAATGAAGAACAATCTATCACAAAATTAAAGATCCATGCACCTCTGTACTCTTTCATTTATGAAATTGGATTTTAAAAATCATATTGTGATGTCAGATAAACATTAAATCGTTTTCAAATCTTCATATGTGTACTTTTTATTTCATAAGGGTTGTCTTTTCTAGCAAAGTAAAATTAGATTAACTATTTCATGTTACTAAAACCTAAATGCAAAACACGAACTAGTACAAAATGGTACCTGGACATTTCAATGTAATAGCTAACCTTTCATTTTTAATTTTCTGACGCAACTTTTGTTTTTTTACTTGCTCAGAGTGAACCTTGGCCAATTGCCTAGCTAAAGATTCATCGATTGAGGAAAGTGAACATGTGCGACTTGCAACTTCAGTCTATGTAAACAAAAATAAACAACTGATGGATTATGGACGTTGAAAGAATAAGTTTGTATAAAAATAGTGTCCATAGATTGACATAGACTTAAAAACGGTTGAGATTCAGGAATAAAGGATAACTCCTTGATATAATCTTGAGATTCTTCAATAACATTAATTATCGTGTTACTTTTGTGTTAACAGAGAAGCGCTCAGATTTCATGACACCAAAATAATTAAACAAAAGGATTAAAATCTAGAAAATAGCCGTAAATGATTGACAGAAGCCTCAGGAATTGTCAACTTGTAGTTTCTAGACTGCACTAACACTAATTTTGTCGAAATTAAGGGGACATTGATCATTTAAAATCTTTAACTAACATAATTTATAAGTGAAAGCAATAATCTAGTCACAACAATGTATATCATATGTATATTCGAGCAATCGTCAAGTTCATTGCTCAACAATTTCGCTGACCTGGAATGCATAAAGACTTCAAAGACTTAGAGATCTTTCTGTACAAGGGGCCAGAAGTCTAGTGGCATCAGATATAAAATATATCTTTTGGGTCTCCATGTAACTCAAACGACACATTTTGATCACATCCACGTTGATTTGGTAGGGCCTCTTCAAGAATTAAGTAGAAGTTTCTATAAACAAATATGTAATGACTTTTTTTACAATGAGCAGTGACAGTATTTGCCAGGTATATTACTACTGAATTTATTGCAGGTAGTCTTGTTGAGCAGTGGACCACTAAACCAAGTTGTTTATCAAAACTCACAGCAAATTGAGGGTGCTCATTTGAATCTAGATCGTTCTGGGTCCTAATTAACTTTGTGGGTGAAGTTAGACTTGTAAAAACTACCTAGCGCTTACAAGTAAATGACGCATTAAGATTATTTCATCAGTTGCTCAGGGTATTTCTTCCAACCGTAAACACATTACATTGGCAGACGCATTTCCAGTCTCTTTACTCGGACTTCGTAGCGAATGAAAGTTAATGCTAGGTGTATTGCAGTAAAACTTGTTCATCTAAATTTCTTTTACTTCATGGAAAATTTGTGGGAACTCCATCTTCATCTCTAAATATTGATCTAATACCCTACAAGAGAAAACTTACAGACGCCATGTGTCCATTGAAGTCTGCTCGAACCTGATATCAGTCAAATTTTCTCTGTATTCAACCACCCTACGACATAATAAACACGTTTGTGAACGTCTCGATTCTTTATAATAACCGCTTGAGGCCGCTTTTGAAGCACTCAGTGAGATTTTGAAGCGCGAATCAAAGTACCATGTAATTCAAAAAGGTAGAAAAAATCAGAACATTGGCGTAGATTGCTTATGGTAAACTTATTACGCCATCCAACAACGACATCACCAAAATAATCACATAAAACGTAGAAATGATGTGTTTTAAAGAGACTCAAACAGTTTTCATCAAACAGAAAGAGTAGATTTGTTCTGGTATACCCGTGAAGCTCCTAGAACGTAGACAATTTATGACAGCTATGTGAGGACATCTTATACTTTCATATATATGATTGTCAAGAATTAAGGTTCTAGCCTTGCGCCTTTTAATATGCTCGTTTGTGTGCGCTTATCTGAACTCTAATTGTTCGTGTATCTAATATTTGTATTTCAAACATCATTTTTTGTATACAATATAAACCACCTTCATTAGGGTGAGGTAGTTGATGTGCCAGCTTAGTGTTACATATAGTTATTTTCGGTTCCATGATTATCTGTCTACCAATAATTGAATGCTTGAAATAAACGTACCCTTATAAATTTTCTATTTTTGTTTCTTATCTACAAATTGTGTTAACATGATCCTGTAGTGACTCACATTTATCACGAGAACACGACTGGTTTAATAAAAATAATTATTATTATAACCAACTGTACCAGTGTTTGTTTTAATGTGCTTTTGTTTGACTGTGCTAATGACAGCTATTTTGTGCTTCCATTCTTACACTTACACTTCGATTGCAACTTCGCGCGAATTCGGCTACCTTCTGTAACCAAGGTTGTATCCTGGCACGATCTCGGTATTCTCTCGATACCAGGAGATCGCCAGCAAATATACACCTCGATTTGGTCCATTATTTGCCTTCTGGTATTTGGCTTCTTGGGGACTTTATGGATCTATTTGGTTACGTCCAACCCTCGCCTTCTGATTTATTTGGCACGTGTTTCTCTGTAGCGGTGTTCATAGTTAATCTCAACTCGACACCACGCTACAATCCGATGAAGGAGGAAGTAGGCTGCATTATTAAGTTAATCCCAAGGCATTCATTCCAACTTCCTCAGTTTTGGTAGATCTCAACAACTGAAGGACTTCAATCAAGTTTGACCACGAGGCCACAACATGATCTGATGTCAAACCCTTTACCTTCTTTAAATAGACAATTCGAAAATCTTATGAACCTCTGCCTCAAATGTACTTCTCACGGAAAGCACTTTGCTGTTTTCTTCGGCTACACTTGAGGTAACATTAGCAAGAAACCTGGTTAGCAGGGTTGTCTAATTCTGTAGTATCCAGGGTATTTTCACGAAACGTGTCCACATATCTATAAAGTAAGTAATTCAGTCCCTTAATCTACATATATATATATTTATATACCTGACCATATCAGTGAAACTGGAAAGTCTAGAAATCTTTTACATAGAGAATGATTTAAGTGGTCGATCAACGGAAAAAGACAGTGTGAGAACTCCAAAAAGATTGGAAAGCCAAAGTTGAATGAATAAACTGGCGGTCATTAGAAGAGAACCATAGTAAATTTTATGTCATGAATCAGTCACTGACACTACTCACATGGTTACACAATAAATGAGACTTAAAATGCTTCCGTCGGGACTCGGTTTCAAACTTAATAGCTAGTGTGTTAAGAGTATTAGTTTCAAAAAAATCAGAGGAAATTTGTATTGTGCGATTGAAGCAATGAGTCTCAATTTCGGACATGCCGAAAAGAGTCTAGTGAAGAGACACTTAGGTGTCTAATTAGACGGTCAGATGTCTTTCTAACCAGTTCTATTAGAAAGGTTCGAAATGTTTTTGGCTTCTCCTACTGTCCTGCCAGATGTTAAAACAGATTCATATATACTGAAGGACGATTAATCATTGGTTCGGTTTGACAATAGCTCATTTTCAAAAATTAATGTCTATTTAGATAACGCTTAAGCGTTGAAGTTCTGTTTCGTTCATGTCACAGAGTCGTGAATAACCAGTTATTATCGAAGAGCTAACGTAATAAGTGTGTCCGTCAGAATACGAATAATCAGTGCTTTCTTGTGCATTTAATATAATGTATCCATAACTTCGAATCGCAGCGTTTTTGATAGGCGATCGCCGCTTATGTTGTTACAAATGCATTATTTTTTTGACCCTCCCTATTAACAGAAGAGAGGACTACTGAACTGTTTAGTGAAGCTTACGATATTGAGAACTAACCATAATGAGAAGGATATTTGAAAAGTCCACACGTACGTAGGTATCCTAGTAACCACAACCTTCATAGTACAATTTTCAATGAATCAAACAACAAGTTACGCTAATCGGAAGTAGTGAACTATTTGTCTCTAGAGATCTGCATCTGAGTTGTCTAAGAACATTGTCGTTTAAGTAGGAGTGTGACCCTTGTTATTTATCGTCTAAATCTGAGGAACGGAAACAACTGATGCGATTGAAGTGTAATCCTCCTTAGTACTCATGAGGCTGAAGTAAACATCGAAAAAATGTATACATAACACTTATTCTAGTGAGCAGTTAGAAGAAATACCGAGTTTAAATGCCAGGATTTTGAGGGGAATGTTTGATAGTTGTCATTTCAAGAGTAGTGCAATACCTAAATAAATAAATGATCAATTTAAGGTCGAGGATTTTAAGAGATAAAGCACGCCATGATCACACTTAAAGACGCCACAAATATTCGGAGTTTGACAACGCCTCGACCAGTAACATCTTTTTTAATCGAAATGTTCAAACCCAGTCAAATAAAAAGTCAGAAGCGAAGAGGTTCGATGATATATTTGACAGAATATCGATATATCGAGAAGTGAAAAATCCAAGCTGACTAGCAATGTCGTAAGAGATGCGTAGCACATCGTACACGATCGTGATCTGCTACGAATGTATAAGCAAGCGACTTCAGCTAGGTGAGTCCAGTAAAACTGTGGTCAACATCAAATATCGAGGTCTTCAGAGCTATTGATTTAAAGTATTTATTTACCGCTACATGTACTACCAAGCTTTTTGTGGTACAAAGGTCCCAATAATCGATTCTTAAACATAACGCTGGTTCTTTTAGAAATCGCAGTATATTATCGACAATTATTCGTGACCACCTCCTTAAGTTCACGAAAGCTTGTTTAGCTTATTCGTTGACACATGAACTACCGTATATGGAACTAAGAGCAAAACTGGCAAAATTAATTACCTGTTACGTATTATGACCAAACGGTCATATGTGAACTGTTAAGTGAAACGTTTTCTCATAATGGAAATAAGTCTCATGCTCCGGATATTACCAAAAAGTGCATCATAAAAAATTATGTTAGTACCATTAACTTTGATCCTAGGAGTATACACACCGTCAACAATACCCTTAAACCGAGTGCGAGTTCTGGTGCTGATGAAATTCCATCAATTCTTAATAAAATGTCAGGACCGGACATACAGACTCTGTTACTCAAAACAAACTCATTATCTTTAGAATCAGATACACATCCTGAAATCTGGAAAGTAACGTATGTTGTCCCCACACAAAGTACGACCGAGAAACTTGGTCGAAAACTACAGACCTAAAAATATAACTCCAGTTATATCACCCATAATGGAAAAAGTGTTAAAAAATCAACTATTCGATCACCTACTTAAAGAAGATCTAATAGACACATTACAACACAGCTTCATCAGAACAAGGTCCAGCAGTACAAGTCTGGTAGACTTCTTTAACGAGGTTACTCGCATACGCGATCAAAAGAAACTAGTGGTTATAACATATTTTTATATTAAGAAAACCTTTGTTAAAGTACCTCATGACCTCCTAAACAACAGACTTCAGTCAGTTTAAAATATAAACTTCCTATTGCAATTATTCGAACCTTTTCTCATGAACAGATACCAAGTAAACGAAATTAAATCTACAACATCTATACGTCGATTAATACCCAATGGTGTTGTTCAGTGTAGTGTCTTTGGTCCATTACTTTTTACAATTCACACCAACAATAGATGCAGGTGCTTTAACACAGATAAGACTTAACTTTACGCAGATGACTTAAAAGTCACCTATAAAACCGACAATTGCGATGTACGTAGTGCTATGCAAATAATCCAGCATGAACATACGAAGGTAGAATACTGGCGCAAACGCTAGAGGTTGGAGCTCACTACAGAAAAATGCGGTTGGCTATGTATTAGACACACGTCTTTTAAAATAAAACTAACACTTAATAAGTACACACTGCCCAAACTGACATCTGTAACTGACCAAGGGGAAAATTACTAACACAGTCTTAACTTCTCTACATATATCTCAACCAAAGCATCCGAAATGCGTAAAATTTTTTGGCTTCATTCTTCGTAACTTCTTTCAAAATGATTCTAAAATAATTCTTCATAAAGTATGTGTAGGACTAACCGTTGACTACTGTTCGTTCTCATTTTCCAATTTATGCCTATCTGATATACTTAAGGCGAAAGAAATACAACGAGATTTCACCCGCAAAATACCTAAGATCGACTAACTCACTGACTACAGTTCTCGACGCCATATCTTAGGACTAGATTCACCTTAGAAAAGTAGGCTTGGTTCCAATTTGATTCTCTACTTCGAACTCCTCAAAAACCTTACTCACTCCAAACATAATATAGTTCTTCCCCAAGATTCACATGAATACGACTTTCAAGATAAGGTAACTACGGTCAAAGTTGAGAAATACAAATCAAAAACTCGGGAAAACTTCTTCATCAAGTATGCATTAATATGGAACAGTCTTCACTTTGAAATACATATGGCACATTCGTCTGTAAGATTTTTCATCAAGCCCTTACTTGCACTGACCTAGCACGCATGAACATATTTGCGTCCCAATCAGCCATCATGACCTCTCTACATTTATAGACCAAATTATTCCAGTATGCCTTGCTGCCCTACTTTGCAGTTCTGTTAGATAAATTTTCTTCCCTGACATATCACTTGAAGTAGACAGGTAACTCACTGAACCTATCGATACTGTTAAACTAAACTCGGTCGCCAATGGACGCTCACTACTACCCTAAAAAGTCAAGAGAACCTCATAGTCTACTGCCTACTACCAGTGGTCTTGCATCTATGGATCCTGTTACCCATTAACCGGTTGGAATAACACAAAATAACATCAGCATCAAGTTAATGTGAGCTTCTTTTTGTCTATTCTTTATCCGCGTTTTACTCTAACATACACCATGTTGAGTTGACATTAATATTATTTCTCGACTCGTTACCTTATCAATAACTCATATATTTCTATAGTTTCCCACCTTCTTCGGAAAACAACCATCCCACATTGTACCTTTCTTTTGATGGGCAACCTATACTTCATACTATAGTCAGATAAAGCACTGCATCGATGTATTACCCACAGTCCATAATTTGTAACTGCCAGATAAGCCTGCATAAAGGTACTTATAGAAAGCTTTTTTCCCAACAGGATGTGAAACACAGAGCATTGTGTGAGATATAACATATATCCAAAAATAAGCTGAAATGAGCCTAACATCACAAAAGGAAGGCGGGTGGATTTATTGATCAGCAAGCATTAACGGTCAGGGTGATGACTTCAATACACACATGTTTGTGGGGCAGAGCATTTTGTTTCTATCAGGCTCTTTATGTTTGGGTACAAGTCAATCAATCTGTGATATTGAAGTTGTTCACCTACACTTAACATTCAAACCCATGTTACCAGTTTTATTCTAGATTAGCTGTTTTATTAAGACAACCTGTAACATGCTAACTAGGACCTTTATATTGGAATTGTGTGGCCGGCATCGGATAAAAAAACTAAAATTTTGGACTATAAAAGATATGATTATTAGTTTTCTTAACACTTTACTCTTTAAATGCACTTTCGGTTCTACTAAACAGCCTTCCTCATTCCAACATTTACTTCTCTTCCTTCATTTGAACTTACTCTACCTCGATTAAGAGCATAACTGTTTGTTCTGGTCACATCTCACTCTAGCAACTAGAGCTAGTATGAATTTAATCTGATAATTTATCATATATATATCTGTTCCCCTACAAAATATTAGTCATCTTTTGTCGTTCATATTCAAGTGCCTTGCTGCTCCCTTTTTCCCCTTATTTTCAGAATCTTGCTCTGAGGGCACAGCTATGGCGCTTCTGACGTCTGGAACAAGCTTGACGTACGCGTTTTTTCAAGGTCATGGTTCACACCAAGCGCTCTACAAATGTTATTTATGACAATTATAAACTTAGGAGGTTGTTTTGCATAAATGCTTAGCACAAATAAAATTCTGACACAATTATACCAAGATTGGATCTAGTATGTAACGTGGACGCAACGCCACTGTGGAAAATATTTTGGAGACTGCACAAACATAATCATTAACGCTCCAATACATTTGCACGAATGCACTGTTATTCAACTTTGTTGATTATATCTATTTAACGATCCACTTGAGAAGCATACTGTGAGCCAACAAATGTTGTAATTCGTAGCTCATGCATGTTATAATGGCGTGAACCTGTCCTCGAAAAAATATATTATTATTCTTTGGGACACGCCACAGGAAGTCAAGATTAAAGTCAACATTTTTCGGTATATGTTCCTTGTTCGCGGTTCACAAATGCAACCTGTTCTAAATAAGCGTGAACGGCAACCCATAAAATAAGGTAGGCTTGACAGAGTTTAGATATATTCTTACATATCTGCTTACGTCTTTATTACCTTGTGTAAAAGGTTTATCATCTGGATCCACAAGTACTTACGGATCTAACTGAAAGATATTTCGACCATAATGTACACTTCACATGGCACTCTAGCAGTGTACATCCATGGTTCAGTAATCGTTGTCTGCTATTAAAAAGATAACTGCTGACATTACAATTTTTACATAAAAGACCAGCTTTTTCTGTTTGATAAGGTTATCCACTATGTCAAGAGATTGGAATGTGTTGATTGACTCGCATTAACCTTAATAGGAAATACTCCTTTAAAATTCCACTACAACAATTAAATGTCATGAAGTATAAATTTACTATTTTTGAAGTTTCGCAGTAGGTCGTTGGTGGACAGCATAACTATTAGTAACCAAATTTGTCATTGATTTGCGATATCAAACACGACTACATTGTTCATCTGATACTCTGAGTAATGGCGAAATTTGTGGATGACATAGTTTGAGACGATGATCGTATTGTTACTATCTGTAGTCACAGTAAACCTTCATCACTGTTAAACGTGATCATGATGAGTAGCAGCTGC